AAACATATGCCAGACAAGCGTCTGGTTTGCTCGCATTTGGACCGTTCAGTTAGCTGATCAGACTCATCAGATATGCTGATGCGGATTGGGACACATTCGTGTCTACATATCCATTCCAAAACAGCACAAAAATCCAAATATATATCCCGCACTGCATCAATGTAGCCATTCACTTCGGTAGAGCGACAAACCTACAATAGAGCTTGGATCACCGCAGTTCAGACAAGTATTGAATTAGAGCAAAGTTAATTTACCCCCTCGCCATACAGACAATCTTCTAGGGAAGTATGAGCCCTCATACCTCTTGGATTATCACGTGACATGTATTCTCTTGAAAGGCATTGTTTGCACGTTATATGTTGTCTTTACCACTCATTCGTCTTACTTCCTTTTCAAACTTATTGTCAGCCATCATGTTCTACCGTTCTTCTACCTATCGGGACTGTCTACATTTAGAAACGCTGCAAAAACGCCATCTACGAAGCCCGCTCGGCGGACGAACCCGAACTCCGATGCCAATGCCGAACGAACACCTCGGCCTTCCACGTCATAACCTCTACTCAGCACACAACAAATTGTATAACCAAACCAGTCATTTTTAGCCCTCTCACATCATAATATCCCTACAATGACCCCAAACCTCGGCCGTCGCAGCAGAGATACCGAAGAAACTCCCGAGCCATCGAAACGCCAACGCAGGAAGTTCACAGCGTGTGTAATTTAATCGCCATCCCCATAGGGCTGATTGTTCTCCAAACTGATAACCATATCTGCGTGTCTATCAGATGTCGACGATGTCATGAGCATAAGATCAAATGTTCTGGAGGCGAGCCGTGTAATAAATGCGTGGTGGTTGGTCTTGGCGAGGAATGTCACTACGAGCCTCGAGATCGTCAGGTGAAAGTTAGTGAGAGGTGAGCCATGCCTTGCATTTAATTATGAATGTATCAATGCTCAATACTATGTAAGCTACTTGGAGCGCATACTTTTGGAGAACCAACGCCTAAAAGAGTTTTCGGGGGCTTCGGCCAACACCACCAAACCACCCCGGCCACCCGCAACGGCAGCGGCAACGGCAACGACAACGAAAGCAACAGGCACAACAGAAGAGTCAAACGAGCCAAATACAAGTAGCAGCGCACAAAACCCTCTAATCGGAGACCGCGCCTGGTTCCATCCATACGACCCATCTGCACCACCGATTTTCATCGGCGAGGCAGCCTGCACGGCATTCGCGACTCGTTTCCGTCGCTTCTTGACTGGTAGCAATGCGACTGCGCATATCCCGCGAACGCAGTATGTGAAGGAAGCCAACATCGCGGCGGCAAATGAAGTCAACGTACAATGGCCTAGTCGACAACAAGCGCGACTGCTGGTGAAGATTGCGCTGCATCAGATTGGACATATCTATCATCTGGTGTTGCGCAAGTCAACGCTGGAAAAGCTGGAGGACATCTACCAAGCAGGGGATTTTGAGTGTACGGTTAACCAGTGCAAGTACTTTGCGCTGTTTGCTTTTGGAGAGGCGTATTCGTTACGGACAGAGCCGTCGTCGGGATGTAGGGTGCCGGGGACGTCATATTTTGCACGTGCCCTGAGTTTGGTGCAGGTGTTGCCGGAAAGGACGAGCATTACACATCTAGAGACTCTACTGCTATTGGTATGCTTACCATTCACATTCAAATGATCCAAAGTTAACGATACAGTCACTATTTTCTTACTACCTCAACCGCCGCCACTCAGCCTACGTCTTAATTGGCAGCGCAATGCGACTAAGCCTCTGCATAGGGTTGAACCACAACATCCCTGAGTCCCAAGTAATCGACCCTGTTGAGCGCCAACACCGCGTTCGAATCTGGTGGACTATCTACATCTTTGATCGAATGTGGGGATCCAAAATGGGCCTGCCATCACAGATCCTCGACGATGACATCCACCTCGACATGCCGTCGAACGTTGAACCACGACAGCTACATGAGGAGCAGTTTTCAGACACGGACTATTTGACAGCGAACGTGAAGTTGGCAAAAATTGTTGGGGAGACGATTTCGAAACTGTACAGTCGGAGGAAGTACACGGAGACGTTTTTGCAGAGGGTGCAGAAATTGCTGAAAGCATTAAAAAGCTGGGTTGAAACTTTGCCAGATCACATAAGGTTGAACCAAGAGGATCCAGAGGCAAACAAGAAGCCTATCACCTCTCTACACCTTGCATTCAACCAGGTACCTTTAACCTCCCCTTAAGCCCAAACAACAGATATGCTGATATAACCAAAGTGCGTAATCCTAACAACCCGCCCAACCCTCCTCCACCTCCTTATCAAACTCAGTGAAAACGACTCCCCCTCTACCCTCCCCCAACCCGTCCTAACCCTCTCCGAAGCCTGCATCCACGCAGCCCGCCACTCCCACTCCCTAATCCTCACTAAATACTTCAACGGCACCCTCCCCGTCTTCGGCTACTTCCACGCCCACTACCTCTTCTCCTCCGCGCTCGCCCTCGCAATGTCCTCTTTCGTCCCCGTGGGTAACCCCAGCGACATGGGCGGTTTTGAGACAGCATTGGAAGTACTACGGTCGATGAGCGAGAATGGGAATCTCGCGGCGGCGGACTTTTGGCAGAACCTCGAGCAAGTTAAATACTGTCTTGAGGGGTATTGGGGAGAGAGGGAGAGGAGGAGAAGGGGTGAGGGACGGGGGATGGGGAATGCGAATGCGATGGCGGCGATTGGGCCGGGGGATGTTTCGGCTGCGTCGGTGCAGTTACCTGGCTCTATTGGGACTGGTAATTCGGCTGCGATGGGGCAAGAGGCTGTTGGGACTGTGCAGAGCGGTGGGACTAGCACGGACACGATGGTTGCTTCTTACCCAACCATTCAAAACAATTGGATACCGCTCCACGACGCATCAGGCGGCTTCACGACAGCAATGGCCTTCCTCGAACCAACGATGCAAGATTTCCTCGCACAATCGGACTTCGACCTCGGATTGTTAAACCCCGTTGATGCATTCCTGAACGACGCGGAGAGTTTATACACATGTCATGGATTATAATATATCTACCAATCTATCTACATGCATTTTATCTATCCAAAGGGTATTACAATAAACCAAACTAGAAACTAGGTTTCTTATCCAACTCAAACTTCCTCTCCGCCCATTTCTGCATATTAAGACCCCATTTCGTAATCGTCCAGACCAAAAGCCCGCCGATGAGGGAAAGGACCACGCCTGATAATTAGATTAGCATTAGCCACAGTTGGGAAAAAAAAAAAAAAAAAAAAAAAAACCAAGTAGATGAGAGGGATAGAAAGGGCGTACAAATGGTAAACGTCCACCCCGCCCCAATAGCATCCAACAACGGCTGCACAGCTGCCGTGCTCGCCGCCGCAAAGATATACTGCACAATATACTTGCCTGCGATAACTTCCGATCGTTTTGCAGGTATCGCCTCTGTTCTCGTTAACAGCTATCTCATACACTTCTGATGCATACTGTGCAGCAACGCAATCCGAATACAGGGACAGGGACATACCAGCATTATAAGTATTCAACCCATTGAAACTCCCCGTAAGCCCAAACCCGCCAAAAAAAGCACTAATAATCGGCACCGCCATCCCCCCTGCCTCTTCCTGCAGCGTCCAACCAAAGATAAGCGCCGAAACAGGTAACACGCCCAACAGCGTCAACAGTCCCGAGTTAAGCCGGTCCTGCGGGAGACGCACCCCGTTGCGACGGGCTATCCATTTGCGGACTGTGCGGTCGGAGAGTTTCCCGCCTATCACGGAACCCAGTAGGAAGCCGGAGCCTGGGGCGAGGTAGAAGAGGCCGCTCACTAGGGCTGTTGTTAGGTTGAAGCGCGGGTTGAAGAGGGCGCGGGCGGAGGTTAGGAGGGCGTATTGGAAGGTTGCGAGGAAGCCGCAGGTTAGATCCTACGACGCCAACCTTATTAGCGTTGCGCATATGCATAACGGTGGGGGAGACGCACGGCAAGGAAAACATTCGGATACACCATCTGACGAATAATACGTAGTGGATTGAACATGGCTACCATGTCGAGAGCGCCAACTTTCGCGCCTGCTTTCTTCTTTGCGATCATGGTGGGAGGGTCTTGAATACTCGAGACGAAGAGGAGGGAGAGGATGAGGCCGAAGCCTGCCATCGCTGTTTGCACCCAGAAGATGATTCTCCAGCTTGTGAAGGTCACGATGATTCCTCCCATGCAGGGGCCTAGCTTGTTAGCCAATGTTCAGATACAAGTGCAGGGTAAGCGGCATACCAATTGCAGGCCCAGCAACACTCCCAACCATAAAGAAGCCAACAGCCGTTCCTCGAACAACCTATAGTCAGTTAGCATCGCGCGAATCTGGACTAAGGAGGGAGGTATACAGGTTCAAAAATATCCGCCAGAATCGTCTGCCCCGAAACCATAAACGACGTCCCCGTCAACCCAGCCAAAACCCTCATTGTCGTAAACATGCGCATATTAATCGCCGCCGCCGCACCCGCCGAACACCCCGTGAGCACAAAAATCGCAACATTATACGCATACTTGCGTCCAAAAATATTACCTAACGGCCCCCAGATCAGCGACGAAAAGCCCATTGCTAACAGCACGCCTGCGTTTGTCGCATTGAGAATCTCTGTTGTTGTATTGAATTCGGAGGCGATTTCTGGTGTCGCGGGGAGGAAGGAGGTCGAGGAGAAGGTGATGGCGAGGGTCATCCAGCTTACGACGAAGAGGATAATGTATTTGCGCCAGGTTGGGAGGTTGTATTGGTTTGAAGCTTCGGGATCGAGGGCTTTCTCTGGTGCGCCCGCAGCTCCCGCCGGTTGGGCTTCCGGATCGGGCGTAACCTGGGCTGTATAGGGCTCATCTTGTTTACCCATTTTGTGTTCAAACGGTATATCTCAAATAGAACATTATTTTTACAATTGAAAATCATGGAAAAGAGAAGCGAAAGAAAAATATTTAAAACACGGCGCTCGGATTCTTTTCCAGCGGGCTCGGCTTGCCGGGCAGATCACCGAAGCTTAGTCTACCCGGGTGGAGCTCATCGGTCAACGTCGCCGAAGCCGCATGAATAATCATATACAGCAGGAATGATTGAAATAATCCATTGATCCATCACTACATAACATCATAAGTATTAAGACTGTCCTCTTTATTCCCACGTAGACCCCCTTAAACGAACGAATCTGTTAATATATACTCCACTCAGATAACAGGAAGAGGCCTCCTGGCAAGACTAACGCACATAACACACGTCTTCATCACAGAAGGATCATTCCGGCACCCGCAACGATAGCTGTAGCCAAGTAGACTCCAAACTGCCAAGCGCCAACATTGACAGCAGTGGGAGTTACCAGAGCACCGGCAGCACCCTCCGAAGTCGAACTAGCGCTTTCACCAGCGACGTCAGTCGGGATAGAGGTGACTGAACCCGTGCCGTCAGCCCCGGCCTGCTTGATCAGAGCAGAGCAAGTGCCCTTGGGGTTGGAGGAATCTTGCACACGAGCGGCACCGGAAAAGTCACAAGCGGTGGACTTCTTGTTCTGCTTCTTGTAGTACTGGTCCATGACGAAGGAAAGTTTCTGCTTGGCGCTGCAGACACTGTAGGCGCCGTAGATACCAGTGGTAGAGTTGGAAGCGATGCCATCACACACGCCATCGGAGCCGCAAACCACGCCAAAGAGCTCACCCATGTCCTCCTCGTTAACCGAGTCCTTGAGAACGCAGGACAGAGTGTCGACCATGCAAGAGCACAGGTCCGAGTTCGGGGTCGGAGGCAACTCCTTGGCAGCCTCCCAGTCCTTGTCAACAGAAGGGCATGCGCGAGCAGTGTTTTCAGGCTCATAGTCGGCACTCTTGATACCGGTCGGGTTCACCTTGGCCATCTGGGAGGAGAGATAGTCAAAGTCTTCCATCTTGCTGACCTTGTCGCCATCGACCGACACCAGGCCGTAGTCATTGGTTTCCTGGAAATACATGTAGACAATCCCACCGCTCCACACACCATTCATCTTATCGCCAAAGAGGACGGGAACATCCGAGAATTTTCGAGGACGCGGGTGGATACAACCATATTCAGAGAAGAAGGCAGGGACAGGGTAGTCTTTGAACTCCTTGGTCCGCTCACTGTATCCGGATTTCTCGAAGGAGGACTCACCACACCACTCATAAATGTTGTATCCGAACATATCAATGGAGGTGTCCTTGTCACCACAGGTCAAGTAGTCGGCCAAGTCGGCACGGATCGAGGCATCATCATCGGTGGCGTATCCCACAGCCAGCGACTCACGATAGCCCTTCTCCTTGATGTAGGCCTTCATATCGCGGACAGCACCTTTGACGTAGGCAATCGAGTTGGTGTTGTTCTTGGCATTGGCGACCTCGTTCCCCGCAAAGAAGCCGATGACGTTGGGGTACTTGGCCAATGCATCGACGACTTTGGCGTACCGCGAGAACAGATCTGTATCCCACTTGGGCTCATTGCGGTTGATAGACTCGTGCGGGGATGACAAATCAGTGATGAGGTAGATACCGGCATCAGCCAAAGCATTCATGCACTCGTCGTGGTTCTTGGAGGGATCGATAGCGTAGGTCCGGATGACGTTGGTACGGAGCTCTTTCAGGTACGGAATGTCACGCTTGCAGCTAGTAGAGTCGGCGAGAGGGTCGATGTACTTGTCGTTTTCGCCAGTGCTGTTGGTGGAGTAGTCCTCTGGGAGATGTCAGTACTGTCTGTTATATGGAAAGGAGGTCACATACGCTGATAGGCAACACCGCGAATGAAGCTGCAATGGTCAGTAATCAGTAGGGTCCGAGATGGCTGATTAACAAGGTCACTTACAACTCGGTACCGTTGTTGGAATAGAAGAATTTGGAGCCCTATGAGACTGGTTAGCTGTCGTAGAGTCCATGGTTTCATTGGAGCGTACCTTGGTTTCGATGGTGGGCAAATCAGCCAGGGCACGTCCCAGCAAGAGGGAGCCCCCAGCGAGGGCGAGTGAAAGCTTCATAGTGACAAGCTACCAAATAGGTTCGTAGAGGTCAACGCTATGAAGCAGTGAAGCACGGTAGAACGATCAGTGAAAAGAAAAGAGATATAAGCAGAAGAGTGAACAGTTGATGGAAGGCTCACCAGAAGATGCCGATGAATTAAGAACGGGACTGGGGAGGAAGAAGAAGAAGATGAAGAAGGAGTGGACAGAGGGAAGGAAGGAAGGAGGTGGCAGAAGGCAGGGAGCTCCGGAATGGGCGTGGTAACAAGGGGGTCATGTGATGGAATTTTCGGTAGCTTCAGTGCTATCCAGTGCCTGCTTCTGGATTTCACTGTGTTTTGTCGGTGTATTTGATACAGCTCAGGTATAGATTAGTGCTTTTGATGTCATGGCATTCCCTTGTCAGGCTATTTTTGCACCCTCCTTGCACTGATTCAGAACTGCTCAAGTAATACATACAGACACTTTGAGTAAGAGAGAGTAGAACAGTGTTCTTCCTGTCTAATTACTGGTTTCTCACGTGTCACGTAAACATCCAGTATGCCTTTCTTCCCGATCGGGAAATATCCTTCTCTAGTAATAGATAATGTGATTGGCTACTCGTTGTATATCACATGACACATGTCACATTTTTGATCGACCAACCAAAATAAGCATTGACAAAGTATCACGTGATGTAGAATGACTTCAATTTTCTGCAGCAAGATGGCTAAAGGAGCTTAGCTGGCTGATGCGCTGGTAAATCTAATTACCCTGAAGTTAGATCTAATCAAACGGAGTCGACGATTGTTCCAGACCTACTTCATACTCGGGAGATATTGCTTGCTCTCTTGGAGTACGTCTTTCCAGAACCATACACTAAACACCAATTGAATCAATTCAGAGCGTACTTGTGTACTTGTAGAACACTGTACCTGACTCCCAAAATTCTGGATCGGCCACTATCGACCCACTAGCCGCTTAGTCACCACTGGGTCCTGCAGATAACTTTGTTCAGGAGATGAGGGGGAATTGACAGCTAAGATCTGGATATATAGACCAATTGGCCACTGGTATATTCAGGAATACTTGTACTCTGCATATTCTCCTAGTGAAAATATTGCACTGTACAAATTATTGTGCTTCCGTACAGAGTCCTCCCTACAGGTTAAGCCACGATCTGCATATCGGGGTGGCTGTGCATGCTAAATAGCATCGAAACACAAATGAAGGACGGCCAAACAACACATTCCTAAACTCTGTTCTTCCCTGCGAAAATCTCCTTTTCCCACTTTCATTTCGCTCGTTTCTCGCCTGTCACTCGTTGGTTTTCTTTTTCTCTCGTAAATCAGTGGTGCGTTGTCTGTCTGTTGGGATTCAACCATTGTCCACCGTCTGTTTGGGTATTGCCGGCCGTCTTCTCTCTTTATTGCCTGCTTTCCACCGCGATCGAGCATCCTATTTCTGTCATATTATCATATTTATATCTTTGCCTGCTCGTTGTCTGGCCACACTGCGGCGCGATTGTCGAGCCACGATCTCATCGCTCCACCAATTCGTGTGCCTCTCTTGGTACAGAATACGCGCCACACCGTCTGACCCAATTTGACCCAAGTGGCTGAAGCTGAAGAATTTATCTCCTATAAGAATCTCTTGGCTCTCTTGGATATCTTGGAAATATCTTGGACAGCATAGCTAAGCTACTGATAAACACAACATGCGTATGTGCCCAGGTTCCCATTTTCCATCCCTGACCCAACCACGGCGCTGAGTGTCTTGGCTAACAGTCTTGGCATTTAGACATCTACCGCCGCAAAGCCAGAAACCTCGCATGGTACGACCAAGAAGGCGAACCGTCCACCCATAACCCCTTTAAGAAATTCAGATCTCGTCCCCGTCGTTCTAGTTCGATTAAACTCGAAAGCCGTCTAGCCCCGGTGCGCACCGCCGGTGACGTCCCTTTATTCGAAGAGCGTCGCCGGAGACAGTCTATGACAGATGGACTGCAAGGACCCGAGCATTCGGATTCGTTTCCACCTGAGTCGTCGTTGTCGAGAGCCTCAGAAGGTCATACCCGTCCGAATACGGCGAGCGTATCGCGAGCAGAGAGTAGTGGTGGCGTTGAAGGACCGGACCTGTCAATGCACAGTCGGGAACCCATCAATGTGTCGTTTCAGGATGAACAGGAAGAAAGAGATCTTGAAGGAGGACCACGCAAGAGGAAGTCTTTACTAGGGAAATGGAGGAACCATGGGGAAGGGAATGGTGACGAAACCGCATCGGCTTCTACAGCAGACGGAGATCCAGAGGACAAGGAGGAGGATAAACAAAAGTTTACGCTGGTGGGCCAGTTGAAAGCGACAGTCTTTAATTCGTGGATGAATATTTTTATTTTGGCGGCCCCAGTTGGAAGTGAGTTTGCCAGGCTGTCTAATATGGGAGAGGTGCTAACGGTAGTAGTTGCATTGAGCCAAGTCAAAGGAATAGACCCGGTCGTCGTCTTTGTGGTTAACTTTATTGCCATTATGTATGACCCCGTTATCTATGAGAGAAGATCACAACTAACAGTGCAGTCCTCTTGCGGCTATGCTGGGTTATGCCACGGAAGAAGTTGCCATGCGCACCGGAGAGACTATCGGTGGTCTTTTGAATGCGACATTCGGGTGAGTTTGACCAACATACCAACCTTGGACAACTGCTGACTAAACAGGAACGCTGTCGAATTGATTGTGGCCATCATCGCCCTGGCCAAAGACGAAATCGTAATTGTCCAAACCTCGCTCGTTGGAAGTATGCTGTCGAATCTGCTCCTGGTCATGGGGATGTGCTTCTTTTTCGGTGGTCTCAACCGCTTGGAACAGCATTTCAACCCCGTCGTTGCGCAAACAGCCGCTAGTCTTCTTGCATTGGCTGTGGGTAGTTTGATCATTCCTACAGCCTTTCACCAGTGGTCCGAAGGTGCGTTTATCCTCGCGGTCCAAGAGAAGACATACTAACGGATACAGCGGGCACTAAAAACGTCGCTGCTCTGTCGAGAGGTGAGTTCGTATCATGCAACGCATATGGTCATCTCTAACTTGAATAGGAACGAGCATCATGCTCCTCGTCGTATACGGATGCTACCTCTTCTTCCAACTCAGAACCCACACGGAAATCTACAACAAACCCAGCCCAAAAGTCGAGAAGCGACGAGTCAAGATAGCCGAGGGTGACGCCAGTCGCGGAATCGCACAAATCGGCAAAATGTCCGCCAGTATGGCTGGCCAGAACGTGCATCAAATCAAGCTGCAAAATCCCGATGACGAGGAGGAAGAGCCCCAGCTTCACCTCATCGTTGCTTTTGTAACACTGGGGATTTCAACAGCGCTTGTTGCTGTGTGTGCTGAATTCATGGTTGATTCGATCAACGCTCTTGTACGGGAACATCCTATCTCAGAGACATTTGTCGGGCTTATTCTCCTTCCTATTGTTGGTAACGCTGCAGAGCACGCGACGGCCGTAACGGTGGCATGCAAGGATAAGATGGATCTGGCAATTGGAGTTGCAGTTGGATCGAGTATGCAGATTGCCTTGCTAGTGCTTCCTTTGATCATTGTGATTGGATGGATCAAGGGCAATGAGGATATGGTTCGTCGTCCCATTGGAGTTATTCTTATTCTCAGAACTGACAGTCATAGACCCTCTATTTCGACGGATTCCAAGTGATCCTCCTCTTCGTCTCTGTCCTTTTGGTATGCCCACCTCCCGTCTGTAGTAGGTTATCAACTAATATCGTAGGTCAACTACCTAATCGCGGATGGTAAATCGCACTGGCTCGAAGGCGTGTTGCTCATGATGATGTACTTGATAATCGCATTGGCATCTTGGTATGTATTGTCTAACAAATAGTGGGAAAAGGCGAGTGCTGACGATAATAGGTTCTATGACGTTTAATACTGGACACAGTCCATTTGTGACATGATTGTTTCATTTCTTATAGATATTTATACCCATACATATATCATATCTTATATACCCTAATATAGCACAATAGACAGATTGATACCGGATACCTGATACCGTATCGCTCGTTTACCCCGGGAGTTGTCCGTCAGGGTTTAGGCTAAATCAATCACATGACCCACACGACCCTACCAAATTAAACCAACCCACTTTAGCCCAAAACAAGACCAAAACTCGACAGCTCTGCCAGTCCAGATAGTGCTACGTATGTGACACCAACACACACACACACGCACACATAGACACAGAATACACGGACCACGGACCACTACTGTACAACATACTAACCAATCACCCGCCCGACGTTACCAATTCGGTAGTCCGGGCAGAAGTCGGCAGGACTCGGAATGCCCATGAACGTTCAACCCGCCGACTGACTCTGCCGCTTCATATGAATCTGTGTGTACCACGGCCAAGTCGAGAATGTGAAGTTGACAGGTGGCAAGTCGGACATACAGTGCACAGCAGCTGTCAATTTCCGACACTGTGCTAGGACGCTGTACTGGTATTCTGTACAGAACAGAGACGGACGGTATGGAGAAGAAAAGACGGCTGCTCGCTTAATATCCGATGACGGGAGCAGTTAATTATACGACAAGTGATGCCAAGAATTCTCCTATCCCGTTTAATTACGTACAGACATTTACCCCGGTTTCGTCCAGGATCTGTGGCTGGTTCCATGTGTTGTATATACTTTCGCATGTACCTCGCCTATCCCCCCTCAGCATCACAGGTATGTATGGCAATACAAGTACACACCTAGATTTCGTACGCAGGACTTGCAACTACGGGGGACATGCGTGTCGGGCATTGTCCGATTGGGAAATTGCGGGGTTCGGGTCACTGGGCCTCGGGATTTGGGAGGGTCCCTCTGGGGGAACCAATCATGGTGGGCGGACGGGCCCGAACGAACAAGCGGCGACGGCGACTGTACGGGACAACCGGCTAAGAAGAGCGCGGGGAGTTGCCGGTCTGGGTATTCCGGATTATGTACAAGCACACCGTTAGATGTATGAGCACTTGTCTCTGTATACATTACTGCATATACTAGTGGAGGTAAGGTGCTTAGGATTACCGCTTGTAAACATGACATCAGTGGCAGCACACCTGGCGTATGTATGGAGAAGCTACCGATCGATCTATCTTTCCCCGCGGGGAACCCGAACGCTGCAGGGGAATCAATCGCACGGAGTAAGCTGCTGGAATGGGCGTACCGAGGCCCCTCTTCTACTATCCCAAGTACTGTACGGGGTACTTCGCATGTACCTGT